GGCTGTGGCTCAAGTGGTAGAGCGCTCGCCTTGAGCTGAAGAGCTGAGAGAGAGCACCCAGGCCCAGAGTTCAAGCCCTATGACCGACCCCCCCCCCAAAAAAAAAAAAGTAGTTTTGGACAATGGAAATGAAGTGTTTCTTTCAGAAACCAGACTGAGCTGGGCTCTGGTGGCTCACGCCTGTAATCCTAGCTACTCAGGAGGCTGAGATCTGAAGTTCAAAACCAGCCTGGACAGCAAAATCCATGAGATTATCTCCGATAAACCATTCAGAAAACCAGAAGTGGTGCTGTGGCTGAAGTTGTAGAGTGCTAGTCTTGAGCTGAAGAGCTCAGGGAAAGCACCTAGGCCCAGAGTTCAAGTCCCACAACCTACAAAAAAAAAAAACACAGATTGGACTAGATAATTGAGAAGTGGTGAAACAAAGGTGACACAAAGGCCAGGCACTGGTGGCTCACACCTATGATCCTGGCTACTCAGGAGGCTAAGATCTGAGGTCTGGGTTCAGAGTCAGCCCAAGCAGGAACATCTCTGAGTCTCATCTCCAGTTAACCACCAGAAAACTGGAAGTGGTTTTGTGTGGCTCAAAGTGGTAGAGTGAAAAGCTCAGGGACAGCACCCACTGGCACTGAGTTCTAGGGCCAGGATCAACAAAAGAGAGAGAGAGAGAGGAAAAGATCTGGTGGGGGCAGAAGCTTAGGGAAAGTGGAATCAGAGAGACTTTTTTGTTTTTGTTTGTTTTTCCTTCCTTCCTTCCTCTCTTTCTTTCTTTCTCTCTCTTTTTTTTGTGCCAGTTCTGGAGAAAGAACTCAGAATCTCATCTTCTGTTAGGCTGGTGCTCTACCACTTAAGCCATATCCAGTTTTTTGTTGGTTAATTGGTGGTAAGAGTCTCACTTTTCTATTTGATTCTCAAATAGCCTCCTGGTAGTTAGGATTGCAGGTATCAGCCACTCACTGGCATAGTGACTTTCTTTTCTTTTCCCCTTCTTTTCTTCTTTCCTTCCTTCTCTTTCTCTCTTTCTTTCTTTCTCTCTTTCTTTCTTTCTTTCTTTTCTCTCTCTCTTTCTCTCTCTCTCTCTCTTTCTTTCTTTGTCATTCATGGGGCTTGAACTCTGGGTTTGGGCGCTGTTGCTGAGCTCTTCAGCTCAAGGTGAGCACTCTACCACTTGACCCACAGCAAGCACTCTACCACTTGAACCACAGTGCCACTTCTGGTTTTCTGGTGGTTAATTGGAGATAAGAGTCTCAAGGACTTTCCTGCTCTGGCTGGCCTTGAACTGTGATCCTCAGATCTCAGCCTCCTGAGTAGCTAAAATTACAGGCATGAGCCACCAGCGCCTGATCTCCCTCTCCCTCCTTCCCCCGCACCTTTCTTCCTCCCTCCCTCCTTTCCTTCCTTCCTTCCCACCTTCCCTCTCCCTCCCCCTCCCCCATCTCTCTCTTTCATTTTTCTTTTTGTGAGTCATGGAGCTTGAACTCAGGTTCTAGGCACCATCCCTGAGCTTTTTACTCAAGGCTAGGGCTTTACCACTTTGAGCCATGGCCTTACTCTGGTCTTCTGGTGGTTAATTAGTGATAATGTGTCTCATGGACTTTCTTGCCTGGACTGGCTTCAAACCACAATCTTCAAATCTCAGCCTCTTGAGTAGCTAGGATTATAAAAACCAGTCATTGAATGACGTAGTGGTTTTGTTTTTCTTTTAAAGATGTGATGACTTCTTTCTATCTTTCATCTACCTCCCTGATCTCTGGGTCCTTTTCTCCTGCCCCATTCTTGTTCTCAGTACTTACCAAGTTTTTCCTAAACCTTTGAATGGCTGGCTCCTTTTCATTAGTCTTAGCTCTGCTCTAACATCTTTTTGGACCTCTTTTCCTCATTCTTACTCCCTGTTCTTATCTTCTTCATGGTTCATATCTGAAATGATCCTATTTCTTTGTTTATCACTTATTTTTATTAAAAGTAAAGACTGAGCAGGTGACACATGCTTGTAAACCTAGAGACTGAGTTCTGAAGATTGTGGTTCTAAGCCAGTCTGGGTAGGAAAGTCCATGAGACTCTTATCTTCAATTAGCCAGAAGAGGAGCTGTGGCTCAAGTGGTATAATTCTATCCCTGAGTTGAAATCTCAGGATTGGCACAAAAAAGAAAGTAAGAAGGAAGGAAGACAAAAGGAAGTTCAGATTATTAGGTATTACATGTGTTATTGTATTCTGCATTGTTGCATGTGGTACTCATTGTATATATGAATTATAGGATATATATTACTTTTTAACATCTTCATGTAAATTTACAATTAACTCAAACCTTTTGCCTGCCTTTCTTTCCTTTCCTTTCTTTCTTTTTTTTTTTTTTTTTTTTTGCAGTACTGGCGTTTGAACTCAGGGCTTTAAGTAATCTTTGTGATTCTGTGAGAACTGGGATTTTCTTTGCACATTGAAAGTTGTTCTCACCAGACCAAGTCTGGCTCTAAATAAGTCTTCCTTAAACGCATAAATCAGTGGATGATATGCACTAATTGATCCAGTTTAAAAGAAGGCAGGCAGAGTACGGAAGAGTGCGCAAGCAGAGAAAAATCCAAGGAAACCTGAATTCCCGTCCTGGGGTTTGAATTTGGATCCTTGAAACTTCTCTTCCCACCACAGTCTACTACCTTTCCATTAGTGGAGTTATTTATGTACCCGTCTCGGAAGGCACATAACCCTTCACAGGCCATCTTTGAAGTTCGTTCTGATTAGTACTTCGAGGCTTGATAAGGATCTTGGTCTAACGAGGAGATGTTATCTAATCCAGTAAAGCCGGGGCCACTTTTCCTCAACTTGTGACCCTGGAGAGGGAGGCCGGGCGAGCTAGTCTGGAAGATTCCCAGGGCCCAATAGGAGAGGTTTCAGATTTCAAATTCTCCCAGGACTTCAACTCGTGCAGCCTCGGCCTCTGCCAACCCCCTCCCTCCCCCCCCCCCCCCCCCCCCCCGCCCCAGCGCGTGCCAACCCAGAAGCGCCCCAGCGAGAGAATTGCAAACCTTGGGCGGCGCACTGGGCCTGCCCTCCGCCGAGGCTGGGCTCCGCGGGCGGAGGAGGAGGCTGCTTGCTAGGCTGCAACTAGCTGGGCGAGCTAGGAGGCGACGATCACAGCTGGGCCTGGACTTCCTTCCTCCAACCGCGGGACAACACACCACCCCCGGCTGCCGGCCTTGAGTCCCGGGCAGCGGCCGCAGCCAGACGCGGCCGCCGCGATGGGCTCCCTGCTGAGCAGCGACAGCGGTAAATCCGCGCCCGCCTCGGCCACCCCGCGGGCCCTGGAGCGCCGGGGGGACCCCGAGCTGCCCGTCACGTCTTTCGATTGCTCCGTGTGTTTGGAGGTGTTGCATCGACCGGTCCGGACCCGCTGTGGCCACGTGTAAGTGTCAGGGCATCTGAGCTTCTGTGCGCCTATGTGTGTGTGTGGGGGGGGGGGGTGTACAGGTAGGAGTAAAATAAGCCAGCGCTTTAGGAAACTGCTGCGGGGGGCAGGGGTGGGGGGGTGAACCTGGACGGGAGCATGCACTGTCGGAAGGGGTCTGCGGGGCAGGCGGTTGGTTAGAGCTGCCTCCTCCTGAAGCCACCCCCCAGGTGCATGGCTCCAGAGATGGAGATCCACGGTCCCGCCAGGCCGTGTGGGCTTCCTCAACACGCGGATCGCGCTGATCTGGGCAGAGCGGGCTGCGCTTCCTTCTCCCTCCCGAACCCGGGTGGGTTTTGTTTTGCTAGTGCTGTGCACGTGTCCCAGAACTCCCCTCACCCCACCCCATCCTCAACACACACCCCAAGGCCGGTCTTGAGCAAACAAGGACTTGTGCAAACTGCCCTTCCACTCCTACCTATCCCTCCCTTCAGCACCCCTGTGCCTGTAACCAACCCCCTGTCCCCCAAGTCATCAAGTCAAACTGAGTGTCCTAGGGACTTTCTGTAGCCCTCAAGAGTTCAACATCTGGTTAGGGTGGGGCATTGGGCTGTACATTCGCACCTTACCCAATAAATGTAGCCCTTTGAAACCCAGCCACGAAGTGACAGGAGGTTGCTTTCTACTTGCTTGGCGAACCGCTTCCCCCAGCCCCGAAAAATGTCCGTGAAAATAACTTCCTTCAAAGTCAGGTGCTATTTAATTAAAGTTTGCTGTGAGCACAGAGCAATAGGCGGTTTCTAAGAAGGATTTAAGAAGTAAATTCCCCGTATAAAACTGGCAGGTCCTCCCCGGTGTGTGAATGACTGGGTGGGAGATGAGTCTGTGAATTCGCGGTCACTGCTGTTTACGTAGGTTTTCTTTGTGGTTCTGTGGGTGTGAGTGGCTTGTGTGTGTGTGTGTTTGTGTGTATGTGTGTTCCCCCCCCCCACACACACACAAGCCCTCATGCATAGATCAGGAGCTTAGCACATTTAATGTCAAGACTGGGCAGTGGACTGACTGACTCTCTTGCAGGGGCCTATAATCAAGGCAAATGCACAAAATGCTTTCAGAAGGGTTTAGGTGGTAGCTTTGGACCTGAGAAGAGTCTTCACCACTGGCCATGAGCGAGCTTGGATGAAAAAATGTACTGCACATGATGTTTAAATAAAGAATGCTCTGGGTATTATTTTCTGGATTTATTTTCAGGGCCTGGTTTTTTTTTGTTGTTGTTGTTTTGTTTTTGGTTGTTTTTGGGGGGAGGTGGGGGTCAATCATAGGGCTTGAACTCTGGACCTGGGTGCTGTCCCTGAGCTTTTCACCTCAAGGCTAGGAGCACACTAATACTTCAGCTACAGCACCATTTCTGGTTTCTGGTGGTTTATTGGAGATAAGAGTCTCACAGATTTTCCTGCCCTGGCTGGCTTTGAACCACAATCCTCAGATCTCAACCTCCTGAGTAGTTAGGATTACAGGCATGAGCCACCAGCGCCCAGCTTGTATTTTGTTTTTGTTTTTCCAGCTTTGTACTTTAAACTCGAGTCTTTTTTTTTTTTTTTTTTTTGGGTCCGGTCGTGGAGTCTGAACTCTGGATCTGGGCGCTGTCCCTCAGCTCTTCAGCTCAAGGCTAGCGCTCTACCACTTGAGCCACAGCGCCACTTCCGGCTTTTTTTCTTTTTGCTTATGTGGTGCTGGGGAATCGAACCCAGGGCCTCAGGCATGCAAGGCAAGTGCTCTACCACTGAGCCACCTTCCCAGCCCCTGATTAAAAAATTTGAATGTAAAATGTAATAAAGATGGAGGCCTGGGATGTATATAGCTCAGTGGCAGAGTATTTACAGCATGCATCAAGACCTAGAATTTGATCCCCAGCACCAGAAAAACAAATAAATTTTAAACAGGAAAAAAAGCTTCAAAATGTATTTTCTATTTCCTTTCATCATTGCACAAACAAAACACATGTGGACAAGTATGATTTGTTTTGATTTGTTTGTTCATTTATTTATTTATTTATTTTGTTGGTTGTAGGGCCTGAACTCTGGGCTTGGGCCCTGTCCCTCAGCTCTTCAGTTCAAGGCTAGTGTTCTAGCACTTGAGCCACAGTGTCACTTCCAGCTTTTTCTGCTTATGTGGTACTGAGGAATCGAACCCAGGGAACCCATGCATGCAAGGCAAGCACTCTACCACTGTACCACCTTCCCAGCCCCTATTTATTTATTTTTGGTTGGTTGTGGGGCTGGGCATGGACACTGTCTCTGAGGTCTTTTTTTTCTTTTTTTTGGGGTCCAGTCGTGGGGCCTCCCTCAGCTCTTCAGCTCAAGGCTAGCGCTCTACCACTTGAGCCACAACGCCACTTCCGGCTTTTTTCTTTTTGCTTATGTGGTGCTGAGGAATCGAACCCACGGCCTCAGGCATGCAAGGCAAGCGCTCTACCATTGAGCCACCTTCCCAGCCCGGTCTCAGAGGTCTTTTGTGCTCAAGGCTAGTGCTCTACAACTTTGAGTCACAGTTCCACTTCTAGTTTTCTGGTCGTTAATTAGAGATAAGCATCTTAGACTTCCCTGCCCAGGGTGGCTTTAACTAAGATCCTTGGATCTCAGCCTCCCAAGTAGCTAGGATTACAGGCATGAGCCACCAGCACCCTACTAAGTATTATTTCTTATGTCTAAATTTAATTTGGAAGCATATTGACTCAGAAAAGATTAATCTATTAAATTTATTTTTTTCTTGGCACTTGTACTGGGGCTTGAAACTTAGGGCCTGGTCACTGTCCCTGAACTTTTATGCTCAAGGCTAGTTCTCTACCATTTGGACCATAGATCCACTTCCAGCTTTTTTGGTGTTTAATTGGAGATAACAGTCTCACAGACTTTCATGAACCAGCTTAGCTTCAAGCTGGCTTCCAACTACTATTCTCAGGTCTCAGCCTCCTGAGTAGCTAGGATTACAGAACTGAGCCATGGCATCCAGCTAATCTATAGCATTTCTAAAATGTCTCAAACAGCCTTACTCTCAGTTTTGATCTTTTATCTCCAGTGGGCTCTTTAGAAGTTTCATTTTAATGTTCTTGTCTATTCATCTATTAGTTGCAAGAACATATTTGTGGAAATGATTTCCTATTCTTTTTCTGCTGTCAGAGAACTGGGCAGAGAGAAGATAGATAGGTTGAAGTTCTGTGAATTGAACTAAAGAGGAATCTGACACAATTAGAAGAAATGGTAAGTGGAATTTATTTTCAGATTAGATATATTGGGCACATTGGAGAAGTCAAAGACAACTTGACTATTTGTTTTGTTTTTGACCAGTTCTGGGGCTTGAGCTCATGACCTGGGCACTGTCTCTGAGCTTTTATGCTCAAGGCTAGCACTCTACCACTTTCTGCCACAGCTCAATTTCCAGCTTTTTGGTAATTCATTGGTCTCATGGACTTTCCTGCCAGGGCTGCCTTCTAACCATTATCCTCAGATCTTAGCCTCCTGAGTAGCTAGGATTATGGGCATGAGCTACCAGATGATAAAGACAGAGAGACAGGCTCAGGAGGAATTCAATGAAGTCAAGAATGAGTTTGTTAAATACAACTGAAAACTGATTTAGGAAATATACAAATACAAATGGAACTTCCCCAAAGCTCTGGTTTGGGGAAATAGCCAGAGGCTAAAGGAATTACCTATGAGGAGCCACAAGATTGAAAATGGACCCAAGCACCACAACTCCCATGAGCCCAAAAAAGACAGCATCCCTATGTCATAGGATGTGCCTAATTTTCCATAAATGAAACTCTGTTAAGGGTAATTCTAAAGTTCTGTCAGGTAAGTGGGTTAAATGTTCCATTTGTGGTCAAGTAGGAGCAGTAAAGCTTGCCTCAAATTGCTGGTTGTCTAAGTAGAGTCTGACAGGCTTCCTGATGAATAGTAAATGATCCAGAAATATGCATCAGGGCTTTCAGATTCTCTCTTTCTCACCCTCTCTCCTGCTCTCCCACTCTTTCTCTTCCCGACACCTCTCTTCAGCCTGTTATTGAACCCAGAGCCTCTATCCAGCACACTAAGCAAATACTCTACTACTAAGCCTACATTCCCAGTCTCATGCTTTCATTCTTACACATGTACAATCTCATCAATTTCTTTTTTAGGCTAAGACTGAATCTTCTTTTTCTCTTTATTCATAGATGCTTCTCAACTATTAGACTTATCTACAATCATAGAAACAATGATTTGCATCTCTGTGTATATGTGTGGATACATACTCCACCAATTCCCATGGTATACTTGGGCCTGCTGATATAAACCGACAAGTTAGCAGGATAAAAGGAAACAAGTTTATTACGTGCTCAGGTGCATCATGGGAGAATGACTACTCAGTCACTGAATAAGTTTTAGAAACGTGGACATTTTCTCTGTATGGGAGAGAAGCAGGGCCTATAAACACTTTTAGGGAGGCAGCTCTTACAGAAGATGAATGGGCTGAAAAGAACAAATAATCTGGTTCCAAGTTTGTATAGACTCTGTTGTGGTGTCAACTCTACTTCTTTCTTATGAGTTAATCTATAGGCTCTGGACTTCAATTAGATAGGAACTTCACAGAGAATCCCTCTTCCTGGTTTAGAAGGAAAAGGGTTGAGGGCTTAGGTGGAAGCCAGATGGACTAATTCCAAGATTGAGTCTGTAGTTCAAGGTACTCAGCATGTCTGAGGACTATACTATGAAGCCTTGCTTTCTGTGCTCCAACTATATATACTTAACCACATGTATAAATGTGGATGTTCCTATATAGAAAGAGGGAGAAAGGGAAGGATGATTTAAAAAAGAATTAATTTATATTAACCACAGCAACATTACCTTCACAGCAACATTTAGATAAGTGTTCAATTAAATAAGTGAGCGTAATAGTCAAGTTGATACATAAGACTAATTCACATTCCCCCTCCCACCTCTCCCTACCCACATTTGCTAGGCAGGAACTATATAGTTTAAATC